AAAATTGACATGTTTCACAAAAATTTTACATAGCTATGACAGTAGACATGTCGATCGCGTGAAATCCTGTCTGACTGATATTAAAAAAAATTTTTTTACTTCATTACACAACAGCAAGCCAAAAACATCGATCATTCATCATCGCTGTATGCCTCATTGTTTGATCAGTGATCAATATCAAGGTCTTCCTCTTCGTCGTTGGAACACAGCAACTCAGGTCCTTTCCCCTTTCTGTTAACTTGATCCATCGCCTTTTGTAAGGCTTTTGCTCTTGTGACAGGCCTGTTCAGTGGACTCAGCTCTGTGCAACTTTCTTGTGAGATTCATTGTCATCAACCACCACTACTTGTCTTTTATTATTTTCTACGGTGTTGGTGGTGGTGGTGGCTGATGTTGAGGTTGACGGTGATGTGGATGATGATGCAAAAGATGACAATGATGACGCATTTTTGACTTTGTGTCTACATACTTCTCCTCTATGTTCAGAAACTTTTGCCTGCGCATGCTTTTTCCAGCTGAAACCTGTTCATTCTTCACTTTTGGAAATATCCAATCGACCTTGGAGCAAATTATTTATGCGAGGTTCTTGCCTACGAACAATTCTCCCACAGCGTAAAGATCAGCAACCTTTTTGATGCTTCCGCAATTGCAGAAAATTTTGGGTTTGAGGGATCTCGATGTCTTCACTTGAGGAAGTGAACACATTGTAGATTTTCTTTCCCAGAACAAAAAAATTACACTCGTCATCAGTGGCCACTGCTTCTGCAACACACAGAGCACAAAATGAAGCAAACAATGGGGTAATTGGGAGGTTGTGGACTCCAAGTTCCTCGCGAATTGTTTTTAGGTCAAGATCTACCACCTTTAACACAATTACCTGCAAAAATATTTATTGTCAAGTTAGTTTAGGCGTAAAGGAACAAAACACTTCCTTCACATATTTATTATTTATATTTAATAAATTAATTGACGATCCGTGAATGAATGAGAGAATTTTTGTGTGATCGGTGGGGCAAAAATGTAAAAAAATCACCAATCAATAATGTTTAACAAACAATAAAGCACAACGTTTCTGTATTACTAACTTATTCTTTTTATGTTATATATAAAGTAAATCTCATAGATTACTGTATTAAAATATTAAAGGGTTTGGAATGTT